ATACTGACCCATCTACTACCACTCTCTGGGTGTGACCACTAAGGCAATTTGCCATCCACCGGACCATGTAAACATCTATGTCACGGCCTTTTAATTTATTTATGAGAATACGATGAGATACTATATCAAAGGACTTGCCAAAGTCCAAGAAAATGACATCCACTTCTACTCCTGCATCTAAGCATTTTGTGACCCTGTCATAAAATGAAACCAGATTGGTCAGGCAAGATCTACCTGCTACAAATCCATGCTGGCTTCCCTGCTGCATTATTTTTCCCATTGGACTCCCACAAATATGATTCTTCATAATCTTTTCAAAGACCTTTCCAAGGATGGAGGTGAGCAGCTCACTTGCCCTGAGTTACCTCAACTGCTGCTTCAGGTACAAGCTATGGGGCTCATCCAGTAGCTCATGCAAATTCCTTGGTGGCTCTGAGAGGGTTAACACAGGACTCTGCCTCTTCTGCTTGCTGGGGCCAGAGAGAAGCAGCAACCATTACAGCAAGGCATCTCCATGCTTGTATTATAGCAAATAAGACAAATCAGCTTCCTAACTTCAGACACACAGCCCAGTTTTGGGGAGCTGATTTGGGGAAGAAAGGCAAGGGTGTGGTTTAACATGTTATGAATATGCCTCCTCATGCCATGTTTTGGGGGGCTGGCTACCTTTCCTGTAACCATTTGCTTGGGGTGCTTTTTAAGAACAATTTAAATGACACAAGAGTTCCTCAACTGACTGGTGCAGCAATGTAGAGACCCTCTTCCCTCCCCTCCTGAGGTCATTGCTGCCCTGCTGGAGCTTCAGGACCTGTGTGGTCCCAGGGCCCTGCTGGCTGGCTGGCCGGCCTTCCCGATGGCATGTGTGCTGAGGTGCTGGGCAAGCCCTGCACTCTGGCTGAAACTCTTCGCACAGGTGCTGCACTCAAACGGCTTGTCACCTGTATGGATCCGCCAGTGCTGGACCAGGGCTGAGCTCTGGTTGAAGCTCCGCCCACACTCACTGCACGCATAAGGGCGCTCCCCAGTGTGTACCCGCCGGTGCTGGGTGAGGGCTGAGCTGTCACTGAAGCACTTGCTACAGACGCTGCAGCAGTAGGGCTTATGGCCCGCATGGATGCGGCAGTGGGTGGCCAGCTGTGAGCTCTGCACGAAGCTCTTTCCGCACTGACTGCAGTGGTAGGGCTTGAGCCCAGTGTGTATGCGGCAGTGTTGTGCCAAATGTGAGCTCTCGCTAAAGCTCTTCTCACACTCGGGGCAGGCGTAGGGGTGCTCACCAGTGTGGAGGCGCCGGTGGGCTGCCAGAGTGGAGCTCTGGGTGAAGCGCTCACCGCATTGGCTGCACTCAAAGGGGCGGTCCCCAGAGTGTGTGCGCAGATGCTGGGTCAGCACTGAGTTCTGTCGGAACCTTTTCCCGCACTCAGGGCACTGGTATGGCTTCTCCCCTGTGTGCAGACGTCGGTGCTGGATGAGCCCTGAGCTATCAGCAAAGCCTTTTTTGCATTCAGAGCAGCGGTAAGGCCGCTCGCCACTGTGCACGCGGCGGTGGGTGGTGAGCTGCGAGCTGAAGCCAAAGCACTTGCCGCAGTCTGGGCAGGGGTATGGCTTTTCCCCAGTGTGGACGCGCTGGTGCTGTGTCAGGGATGAGCCCCGGCTGAAGCTCTTCCCACAGTCCCCACACTGGAAGGGCTTCTCTCCACTGTGCACATCCTGGTGCCGCACCAGATTGCCCTTGCGGCTGAAACTCTTCCCGCACTCCAGGCAGCAGTATGCATCCTCCCTGGCATGCACGCGCTGGTGCCTGGCCAGCTGGGCCTCCTGCTCAAAGCCCTTTCCACAATTGGGGCATGCATGTGGCTTCTCCCCCTGGTGTACCTGCTGGTGTTCAGCCAAGTCGGCAGGGAGGTGGAAGCATCTCCGGCACTCTAGGCACCGGAATGGCCTCTCCTCCGCATGGACCCGTTGGTGCCGGATGAGGTTGGAGCTGACGCCAAAGCACCGGCCACACTGGGCGCACTGGTAGCGCTTCTCACCGCTGTGCACTCGCTGGTGGTTATACAGCGTGGAGCTCCGGCTGAAGCTCTTTCTGCAAACAAGGCAGGTGTAGGGCCCCACCCCAGCATGCAGCCCTGGATGCTTCATACAGGTTGAGCTGTCAGGGGAGCCTTCTGCAGAAGCAGTGCACGTGCAAGGCTTCTGCCCTGTGTGGATCTTCTGGTGCTGGGTGAGGTGCGAGCTCTGGTTGAAGCTCCTGCCACACTGGGGGCACTTGTATGGACGCTCCCCAGTGTGGATGCGCTGGTGGGTGATAAGGGTGGAGCTCACACTGAAGCTCTTGCCACATTGGTGGCACTGGTATGGCTTTTCCCCTGTATGGACCCGCTCATGCTTCACCAGCGCTGAATGGACACTGAAGCGCTTCTGGCACTCTGTGCATTGATACCGGTTCTCCCGCCCTGGTGGCCTCTGACAGTTGATGGAGCCTGTGTGTGTGTCCAGGCCCTTCTCAGGGTCTGTCTTGGGTAGAGGATTCTCCTCCTCATTTGCTGTCATGATTTTGTCATCTAAGAAGAAAGAGCAAGTTGAATATTCAGACATGACTCACCCCTAGAACTGAGGAGAAGAGTGAATCCCATAAATATGCTGCTAGGCCTGTGACCTCAAGCTTAGCATCCCACCTCAGGAAAATCCTTCCCCAGAAAGGGACAAGGGATGGGGATTGGGTGAAAGAAAGAGAGATGAGGAAAAGGACGTAGATGAAAAAGACAGTAGGTAGGTGGCAGGAGAGACTGAAAAGAAAACAGGCAGCAGCATCTCCCATGCTATCCTTTCAAATTTTTGACAGACATTTATAGCAGAATCACTGTTCTTCAAAAGGCACCTCAAATGCTGCCAGTATGTAGTAAAAGGACTTGACAGGCAAACAAGGAAACAAGATCATCTCTCAAAAAAATCTGGAAAAAAATCCAGGGACTTTAAAATTGTTTAAACTTTTCAAACACGGCATTTTTGACCATGGAAGGCACTTTGAAAATGCAGCCTGTCATTCTAATTCAAACAGTATCATCTGAATCCTGGCTAGAAGTACGATTACAGGGTTTTTTGTAAGATATCTGAACTTCATTCTAAGTAGAAAACCAAGTGTTACCATACTTTGCAACTACTAGCATACTAGGAAGTCTAGGAAGTCTCTGTAATGATTATCCGGCATGCACAACCAGAAGATATTGATCAAGATAGTGAACAACAACAACAAAACAGTCAAAAGTTAATCTCCTAAATTCCCACTAGAACACTGAAGTGTGAAATTTTATCAAGCACCCAAATGATCTGGGAACACAAATGTCATTGGGAATTTGTGCTTGTATATCATTCTCCTAAATTTAGGAGCATATACTAAGGCTCCTAGGGTGTCATTACATGTGCTCTGGGGTGGAGGTGGGCACTCTTGAGAACCACCCTAATTAAAGCGCCTGTAGTGTCTCATGTACTCGGTGTCCCGTGCTTCAAAATGGCAGCAGGGACGCTTTAACTAATTAGCATGCCCTGGCAGACCTGATTGAGGTTACAGGCACCCCTAGATTTGAAATTCTGGGCCACCTTATTTCTTGTTTTAACATTCAGAGTGTTAATACGATCATCAGGAAATACCTTGAATTTTATTTCACTAAGCACAGCCAAGAACTTGGTGCTCAATATCACAATGGATAGGTGATACTTACTGTGACATTAACAACAACGTGCCTCTGCTCTTGAACAGATGAGTCTAGGGGAGCACATGACAGCTGTGTTGAAATTTCAGCTTGGTACCAAGTTAACCATTTGAGCTGATTTTAAAATGATCTTTACCTGTACAGGTGGTTCTCAGGGTCTCCCTTTTCTCAGGGCCCTGCAGATCAAAGGCAAGTGGTTCTTCTTGTTCCATCTGAGAAGTCACTTCACCCCAGCCAGTTAAACATCTTGGTCCTGGAAAAGAAAAGGGAAGTAAATTATCTTAAAAAGTTACACGTGCTTGACAAAAGAAAGTGACAGTACTCAAAACACTCAGAGAGAGGAAAACCTGTGTTTAACCTTGGAATTTATCACTCTGCTGCTGCTGCCTTCACATGTCCACTTCCTGAGGAAAGATTCATGAGACAGCAAAGACATTTTGGGCCCAAGGCTGCAAAGGGATCCATACTGAAGGACTGCAGAAAGTGCTAGTAACATAGTCAGGATTCCAGGTGGGCAGAAGGGTTCATTTTGGCAAGATTTTCATGAAAGTCAGATCCTCCACTTATACTGAAATCAGTGACAGCTCCTTTTGGCCGATGATACAGGAATGCAAGCTTTTAGGGGCAGGCACCTATCTTTTATGAATTACTACGAAATGTCCAACCCACAACTGGACAACTAGATTCTTGTTGTTATAAAACAATACCCAAACAGAAAAATATCTGAGGAGATGCAAGAGGCCAGAAGTCAAAACTAGATGGAAATCAAACCCCAGCACTGCACCTTGGAGTCATTTTAGATAGTTCTCCATAAATATCAGCTGAATGTGCAGCAGTGACCAAAAAAGCCAAAAAAATTTTGGACAGCATTAAGAAAGGAATTGAAAACAAAACAGAAAACATCAAGCCATTATACAAATCCATGGTGTTTATGTCTTGAACACCATGTGCAGTGCTGATCCTTGCGTCTCAAAAATGATGTAGTAGAAATAGAAAAAGTATAGAGAAGGGCACCAAAATTATGAGGGGCCTAGAGCAGTTGCCATACCAGAAGAGACTAAAAGGAAAGGACTCTTCAATTTGGAAAGAAGGCTGAAGGCAGATACAATAGAGGTCTATAAAATTATGAAGGTGTGGACCAAGTTGTTTCACCAAATCCTGGAATATTAGAACTATGGGTACTATGGGACACCTGAAATTAGTAGGTGACAAGTTTAAAACTAACAAGAAAAAGTACTTTTTAATGCAACATGTAGTTAATTTGTGAAATTCATTGCCCCAGGAGGTGGTAGAGGCTGATAGCATAGCCGGGTTTAAAAAGGAACTGGATAAATTCATGGATGATTGATCTATTAATGGCAATTGAACAGAGCAGTTAGAGATGTTTCCTTTGGCATCTCTAAACCAATAATAGTGGATGCCAAATTTCTGGACCTGTGGGGAGCCCTGTGGGCCAGATGGCCCAGGGCTATGGGCTGTGTCTGGCCCACAGGCTGGAGGCTGATCACCCTTGCTCTATGAAAATCCAGTTCAAAGCTGTCCCTCTACAGCAGTGGTCACCAGCTAGTGAATCTTGATCCACCAGTAGATCTTGGAGCCTCTTGGGGTCAATCCTAGGCTGGGGTGAGGGGCTGAGTGCCTGCGTGCCTGCACACATGTGCCCCAGCTCAGCAGGTCTGTGAGGGAGGGAAGGGACAGGGGCTAGATCAAGGCCCCCGCGGTGAGGGACCGTGCCACAGAGGCAGGAACAGGTGAGTTGAGTGCGGCCCCGGCTGAGTGGGACTTATCTGTGGGGGACGCATGCCCACAAATAATATTTTCTTCCTCTGCCCGGGTCTGCCCTCCTTCCCTCCCCAGATTTACCTGCTGGAGTGGGGGAGGGGCGTGGCAGCAGTGGTGCACGGTAGATCTTGGGATGCTTTTAAATGCCAAAGGTGATCTCCTGCTTAAAAAGGTTGGAGACCACTGCTCTACAGCATCCATCCTGTGCCCATTTTTAATGCTGTGTATTTGAAATCTCTGGGTTGAGCTTGTGAATTGTGTCTGTATGCCCGGCACCACGAATGCCGCGTGCCCCTTGAGGCTGCGGGGCACGGTGAGCTCCTGCAGGCACCAGCAGTGCAGTTGGCAGTGGAAGCGTGGTGGCAGCAAGCAGGGGGCTCCTGCAGGCAGCTGTGGCGGTGGCAAGTGCTGACCAGCAGTCGGCGACCACCCACAGATGCTGCCAGCAGTGTTGGCAGCAGAGCGGTGTTGGCGAGCAGCACCACCCACAGGTGCCGCCGGCAGTGTCAGCAGTGCCTCTTTGCAGGGGGTGCACCACCATGCTCGGGGCGCACCGCCTACGTGTTGCCAATGCCCAGTGCCATGGGGCACGTTGGGGCACCCTTGAAAGTATCTCAAGCCCCCCCTCCGTGACACCCTGGTTGAGAATCACCAGTGCCTGCTGGGGCCTAGGCTGCACACAAGTTTAGTGCCCGCACAGCTGTTCGGGTTAAAAAACCCCATGAGGCTCCTCATGCAAGCGCAGTGAGCTGGGCACTACCCCAGGCAGGCCCCCAGCAGGGCCACTCCC